TAAAATGAACAAATTAAAGTAAAAATATTTTCCTGGTATGAATAATTTAGAATGAATTTTCAGAAGAGAATTTTGACAATTTGCATATATTTTAGCATGTGCTGAGAGATCCAGAAAGTTTAAACACAAATAATGAATACAATGATTGCCATTTAACTTTCAACTGCTCCCCTGACATCAATATATAATTTCATTTTTTTTTTTTTTTTGTCCTTACTATTACCAATTATCACAATGATCATACTAAATAAAATTTACCCAAGTTCAAATTTCAGTAGAGTTTGTTGTGCAAATACTCTTGGGGAGGGTATGAATTTATCTCTTCTAGTTCTTTCAATACATGACTGACGAGGCTGATTTTTTATTCCCGCAGTAGGTTGCCATCCTAGGTTATAGAACCTGGACTGTCCTGTTATTTACACATAGCTGGAGGGAAAAGTGGATTCATACCTTTCCCAAAAGTATTAGCACATAAGTGAATGTAATGGATTTGAACTTGGCTCTCTGATTTCTCAATCTGAGCTACTATCCATTAGTCCACTATGCCTCCTGAAATTATTTACTAATCATAAATGGAAAAGCTTACTACAATTCAGCAAACCACAGTATTTTAAAAAGAATTTTGAATTTTCTTTTTGTGTCTATATAAACATGCTGATTATATGGATGTCTGTGCACATTATTATCAGAAAATGAGTGATAACTATAGTAAATCTAAAATTTATTGGTAATTTTCTAACATTTCCTCAAGAAGCAAATAAGACGGACTATAAAGCAAAAGTATGTAAAATTCAATAAAATACTAGATTACTATAAATTTCAACATACAAGTTGAGTTTGCAAGCCCCAAAATCTTTGTAAAACTAGGAGTTGACTTATATTACAGGTATAAAATGTAAACCTTTACCTTGAGTTGTAAACAAGTGGGACAGCACTCCTATATAAATTACTGTATACCACTTACCATACCTCCAACAGGCTGCCATAGAAATATATCCCACTAAAACTTGTTTCATAAACATATCTGGTGTATTAAGACAGAAATTAATATAAAATAACACAAATTCAGTATTCTATTCTACAGCACACATTGCGTTCAACAGCTGATACACAAAGTGTAAACACTGACTGAAGCACCATTTAACTCAGGTAAACATTCAGAAAGCAGGTATACTATGTATATGATAGTAATGGCAGTTTATTGAATATATAATTTACTTCATTTATCAGTAGACTTAAGTTTTGAGCCACCGGTAGCCTACTTTATGTTTGTGGGGGGTGATTTATATGCTAATTATAAGCCTAACTTAGAATCTTGACCTAAAATTTTGAAGTCGACTTGTATGTCACAATTTATGGTACTTTAATTAAATTACTGGGTAGTTAAAAAAAAAAATTATTTAAAATATGCATTCACATTGTATTTGTCAAATAATTTTTACAGTTATGTACCCCTTGCTTAAATTTACCAAACATTAAGCTATCAATTTGTCAACACCGCATAAAAACACCCGCCTCTGTGTTAAGAGAATGCTTTTCTTTGATATTTAATGGTAATATTTGTTTTAATTCGGATTGATTAAATTTTAAATCATTTTCCTCAAAGTTTCAGAAAATTATATTTTAGCTTTGAAAAATTTCTTTAATAAAGAGAATTATGTTGTATTGACTGATTTGTCAATGTAGCCAATGTTATCAATTTAAAAAAATAAAAAATAAAATAATTCCAGTCAGTTTAAATTTGCTTTGAAATACAAAGTATTTTGCTTATGGAAATATTCACTTTAATCTATTAGCTTGAATGGAAATAAAAGCTTCAAGAAAGATTTTTCATTTTTAAAATGCTTCTTTTTTTTTTTTTTTTTTTTTGGGGGGGTACCTAAATAAGAGTAACCTACCCTAAGGGTTCTAAAAATTCATAAAATACCTAAGTACAGATTTTATTTGACTATAAATTAATTTAACTATTTGTTGTAGAGAAGCTAGCAGCCCTTCAGCACTCTACCAGATGGCCTGGCTCATAGCCTTAAATAGTCTACAATTAAGGACTTCAACTGTGCTAGCTACTCTTTAACACTATTAAACTTTGTTAATTTGTTTTTTTATGACTTATCAACACTTTATTGATTATTTAGAGCCCAAACATTTTAGATTGCAAGATTTTAGTTTTCTTTTTTATTTCAGGATTGAATATTGCATGAAACATTTTTGGGAGATAACAATGATTTTTCCGGATACAAATCCTACTATTTAGCCTATAGCTGGGGGAGGAAATGAATTCATACCTTTCCCAAAGGTATTGGTGTATAACTATAATTAGCCCGAGTAGGATTCAAACTTGGCTCTTCGTTTTGTAAACATTCAATAAAATATTAAAAATCAGGACAGGAATAAAGTTGACAGTTCTAAGGAAAAATTTAATTTTTAAATTAAAACTTTTGAACAAGTAATTCTTATTGTGATGAAAACACAAGAAATATTAAATGTTATCTTTGAAAACATTTAAAAAATATTTGTGCAGATTATTATAGAAGATTTCTTAATGCTTTCTAACTTCACTATTTTATCTTTTAATTGAAATGACCAATATATATCAGACACATGGAGGCACAGTAGAGTAATGGAAAGCAGCTTGGATTGAGGAAACAGAGACCCAAGTTCAAATTCCAGTAGAGTTACATTTCTTGAGAAAGGTATGAATTCATATCATCTCTCTGCTGTGGATAAGTAACAGGACAGACTGGATGATATAGCCTTGTGTGGCAACTGGTCTATGAGAAGGACGACTCTGAATTTAAAACCTTCAACTATGGATTAAATAATAGAGCAGTCTGGGTTTGGCAACCAGTTTTGGAGAATGACAACTTGGAATTCAAAACTGTATGTAACCCTGGTGAAGCACATAATATGCAATTAAGGAAATGATTGTGTAATTCACATTGAGACTTTATGATCCTGACTATGGATAACCTCATTCATTCATATCTCACAAGGAATTGTTTTGTTTTGCATTCATGACATTTTGTATGACACAAATGTAAATAATGAAATTGTCATAGTTCACAAACAAGAGTTTAATTTAAAACTTATTCTATTGTTAAAATTGTCTTTTTTTTTCTTTTTCTTTTTGTTTAACATGGCCAAATTATAAAAAAGGGCTTTGTCCTTGGGGACACATGGATAAAAATGTAGGTTGAAGTAATCCAATGACTTGACCCAAAGAATCATGAGTTCAATACCTGGCTGCAGCAAAGATGAACAAAAACTTGGAGGGTTGGTTTACTAAGGGGAAGTAGTTGAGACTAAGATGTCCAGAAGAGTTATGGCAAGTGGAACTAGAACAATTTACCCGAGTGGATGAAATGAAATGTTTGGTTTGGAATTCTAATGTATATCACCTGAAGAAGGCCGAGTGTATAATGGCCAAAGTGTCATGGATCTGACAAAGATGAGGACAACAGTCCAAACAATGTAAATAGTGCAAATGTAGGGTGTGAGTGCTACTTGAGGACATTTTTAGTATGTTAAATAAACAGCAATATATTAGCAAACAATGTATATATTTAATTCAAATTGACACAAATATCCTTCATGATACTTCTTTATCTAATTATTCTATGAAACCACCTTTGGCTTCAATGACTGCTTCTATTTAGGCTCGAAACTGTCCACCAGCTGCAATTAAGTGGTCCCTATTCATTTTGGACATCACCTGGAGAATGGCAGCCTTCAGTGCAGCTATGGTACTATGAGGATGTCAATTAGTCTCCCTTTCCACAATGCTCCACATATAATAGTCCATAGGATTTAAATCTGGTGAGTTACAGTGCCCACATGTTGAGGGTCACATGATTGTAAAAATTCTCTGATAACTAATCCTGGGTTACAATGGAATTGTGAGATGGTGCAGTCTTGTTGAAACACATATGGCCTTCCATTGCATACTTTATTTATCCAGGGCTTAACAACCCTTTTAAGAACGTTAATGTATCCAGCAACATTGACCCTAAGACCTTGTGGGAAAATGTAAGGTGGCATAACATGACCTTCACTGCTCACAACTCCTTAATCCATCACAGTAGCCGGATATTTGATCTGCATCACCCTGGGTACTTCAGAAGTGGATGCACATAGCCACCTGTCATTCCGTCTGTTTGTTTTCTGATCTTGGTCAAAGTTTTTTTTGCCAGAGAAAAACTAAAGCATGCCATGTTCGTGGGGGTTTTTCACTTTGTTCAGCAACTGTTTTGAATGCATGAGACGGTTTTCCTGTGTCTTCACAGATATGAATTGGTGTTTCCTCATTGCATATGACTTGTATGACCTGATGTACCACAGTTCTGATAGTCCACTCTGATACCTAGAGTTCTTTGGCGATGGACCTCATTGATCTTCCGGAGTTCTCATCGATGACGTTGTAAACATTCCGTATAAATTCTGGTGTTCTCACAGTATCAGAGCGCTGTGAATGCTTTTCTCTTTTTGCTACAGGGGAAACATTGCTATCATATCCCTCTAGCTCCAACCAAACCTTATGAACAAATGATCTGGCAACATGTAAAAACTTACTGATTTTTAAATAATTATGTTTTGCAGCTAAAGCAACAATAACTGCATGTCTTTTCATTTCTTGGGTTAACATCTTCCTCTGACTGGGTTATCTGAAATAAAAAAAAAAATATTATGAATGATTTGAGTGTGTAGTGAACTTAAAACAATGTCCTCAAATAGCACTTGCACTCTGTAGTTACAATACCTTATCTCAGAAATATAGACAGATAAACATTACACAGTGGAAGTTTCAGATCAAAATTTGGCTAATAACTTGTCCGTATATGGATTATTGATCCTTGTATTCAATAAGTAATTCATTTAATTGAAATTAATTAACAATAAGACTTAGAAACAAATAAAATCTCTAAAGTATTAATGAAATTTATTGATTTATGCTTATTTTCAGTTGGTGGACGGCAGTTCTTCCAACTCGGCTGTGGCATCCAATGTCTCCTATTGATACAGGTGCCATTATCAGTGGCTCACAGGGACAACGATGGAAACTGCAGCAATTGCTAGGACGTGGCAAGTGTTGTGATGTCTTCAAGGCTGTTCTGCTTGATGAAGACTATGAGGTAAGAACTGCAGGTGTTTATCATAAACGGCATGAGTAACTTTTGTTTTTTTTTGTTAATCCCTTACTTGATATTAACTTTTTCCCATTCATCATTTTATTTAATTTTGAAGTATATTTTCTTTGTTTTATAAATTAAAATTGCTTAATGTAGAAATTGGGATGCATGGGTGATGTAATGGTTATCAATACGGAAATTGGAAATGGCAGCCAGAGTTCAAATTCTAGCCTAGTCTGTTGCTTTCTCGTTCACACTAATATCATTGGGCAAGGTATGTATCCATCTCTTCTTCCCCTAGCTATGGGCTAAATAGCAGGGTAGACTAGTCTCTCTAGCATTGGGTGGTAACCAGTTTAAGAGAAGGAAAACTTAAGAAAAAAAAAAAATTAAAAACTGAAGAATGTAATAGGAAACCATTCTATTACCTTTCCCAAGAAATCATGGCAATTCACAGATAAAGGGAATCTGTGAATGGCTATAATCAGTTACATCCCAAAGGGATCTGGCATTTGAAAAAAAAAATGGAAAATTATAAGAATCATGAAAATGATTTTCTTTTTTTTTTTTTTTTTTACTCTATTTTTATGCTTGAAAATACATTTCTCATCTAGATTAATATGGGATAACTTATGTAGTAAGAGTATACTGTATGCAGTCAATAAAAATTCATTAAATACACACACCAAACATTTTTAATTTCCAAAATTTAATTCTTGTTTTCATAATTGTTAGGTTTAATTTTTAATGGAGGGAGAGATGGATTGTTATTAATATTCTTTGTATCTCTGACAAAAAAGCAACTATATACAGTCAATGACAAAATTATTCATACACCCATCAATTATTTTGAATGTTTTTAACCATTTCTCAGAATCTAATGTTTGTATGTTGCCAGGTTTTTTTATATGTTAATAAGCACAAAAAAAGGAATATAAAACTCAATTTTCAGAACAATATGTTAAATGCAACAAAGTTGACAGGCAAATCATGCAAAAATTATGCATGTTGGTTTCATGGCAATAACATTATCAAAGAGACTTACATTATATATGTCAGATTCAAGCTCTATTGCACAACATTTAAAGGAACATTCCTGTCCACATTCAATATTTAGAGAAATATTAATTGATAATACAAGTATACTCCACCATGAAAATAAAAAAAACAAAAACTGCAAATTCTTAAAACCCTCTATATAAGAAAAGTACAACCAACACTAAGATTAATTATGAGTATAGCAACAGTGTTTTAAAATGTCTATAACAGCAGGTTTCATGCACATTTACAACTATCAATTACATTAATTTTTTGTCTGAGCAATTCACCCCAGAGGATGATCTCGGATGAGATTGAAAGTACTTGGGGAAAATAAAAGAAATGGAAAAAAAAAACTATGATGCCTTCCTTAATGAGTTTAATAACCACATTATGAAATTGATTCACGAATTTGGGAGGATTAAAAAATAACCAATATCTAGATTATTCAACCAAACATACTTGAAAAAAATATATGGATGGCCTGACTATTGTGATTAGCATGAAACAGACTGTTGCCTCCGGGTGTTGACTCCTATGTCCACTTTTATATTTACATGTGTCCTATCCCTGATATTGAGCACTTTAACCCATAAATATAGCATAGCTTAAAACTATATTTTATGAGATATATTAGAACCACTTATGTCTCTTGGATTTTAAGTGAGCTCACTCTGAATAGATCTGTTTCTTTCTCTGTTCACTTGTACACTGCATTGTGCTATTATTGCTTTTGCAATGATCAGTGATATTATATATGGTTCAAATCTTAAATTTATTATTAAGAATTATGAGATTAATGCACTCTCTCAGTGCATTTTCTTTTTAGTGAATCCATTTCTCTCTTGATCACACTTGCATTTATTATGTTGTAATTTGATTTAATTGTATTACTGTGAACTACCTGTGCATTTAAGGTATTATTATGCAGCATATCTCTGTAATGTTCATATAGTTTGTTTTTTTTCATTTCACTGATGTACATCATTGGGCAATTTTGTACAATCTGTTTTGTATATTCCTACCTCTGTCTTGTTGTTACTATCTCATTTAGTGTTAGTCCCAAACTGAGGGCTTCAGTTTTTGTTTTTGATAGTTACATGGTGGATGGGTTTTGTATTATGGCTGGATGGTCCTGTGCGTTTCTATTTGCAATCTATACGGTTTTAAATGTGTAATGTAGATCATCGATCTGCTTGCTTGTGTTTTATGCTATGTTTGATGTAGACAATCTGATTGTGAGATGTTATTTTGTCTAAATTTCACTCTGATGTTTCTTGCTTTGTTGAATGTTGTTTTTCCATTCTCTTTGAACTCTTCTGCAGTGAATTTGGAGTGTTTGTGACCATATCTGGGGAATACATGGTTAGATGTTCCTCGCAATGTGTATGTGCTTCTTGGGATGACTTTTTCATGAATGCAGTCCAGAATAAAATCCAACAAACACCAATGACTTTAATAAATAATATACACACACACACACACATTCACATATTGGGTGGTTCAAAAACACTTATGGGAATAGCTTTATTAGAAGAACAGAATTGATATAATTTCAAACAGTCTCCAGCTTTTCAATGAGTTGTTGTACATGTGTGTAAAAATAAATGTTAAATCTTTTATGGCAGTACTTTTTATTATGAAGGTGCATTCATTATTATTTCTCTTGCCATTCAGCTCAGCATCCTAAGCTTTTTTTAATATTAAACTTGCAACATTTTGGTTGTTGTACCCATTAGCTTTTTTCAAGTGTCTCTTGTAATTGGTAATTGACTTGAAGTTTTGAACTGAACCCTTTATTCAATCCATGAGGGTAGATTGTTCTCATTCTACTTTGGGATATTTCCTATCCATTAATACTTACCAATCTTAATAACTTTTGTGTTCCTAATCCATTTCTTTCACTGAACCACAGTAAGAATCTTCAGCATTACCAGACCCAGGGATTGAACAGTTGTGAGTTCAATCCCTGGGTTTGATAGTGCTGAAAGACATGCATTTATTATTTTCCAAATGTTTGTTTTATGTGCAGGTTGCTGTGAAAGTCTATAAGAAAGGCTTACAGTATGAAGGAGCACAGCAGAGGGAACGCCTTATCTTGCAGATTGTTTTTCAAGAGCAAGTTCAATGCCCACAACTTGGTGAGTTGATTTTGAAATTTATTATTTATTTGGAAATATCCTAATGATTTTATAATCAATGCAAAATAAAAGCCTTATCAAATATTTCAGAATAAAAAAAAAATTAACATCTATAGCAAATTCAATGAAACCAGATATATTACTCTACCTACTAACTCCCTCACAACTACAATTGAAAAGAATTTATTTAATCTTGACATAAAATTACAACTACTTCTAAAACAAAAGACTTAATACAAAAGAAAATAAGCTAAAACTTGGAGGAATATATTTTATAACCTGTAAAGATTGTCACTAGGAATACATAGGAGAAACCTCAAGAAATTTAAATAAAAAATTACATGAACACAGATCTTTTACAAAACAACACACTCACTGCATTAGTCGCTCACTATAATGAGTCTGATCATAATTTTGATTTTAAAAAATGCTACTTTAATTAAGAGAGTAATTTACTAAGATAAAAGTGTATGAAATGTGCTTTGATTGTGACATAATCCATGGTAAAATTTCACCTTTCTTAGCAGATTTTCTATTATCACAATGTGGGATAGTTGTTAATTAGTGATAGAAACACAAGGAAAAGCTGGGGAAAACTAAATGAGATTGGCAAGATACATATCCAGACACGTCTGAATAAAAAAAAAAAAAAAAATTTATATTTAAAAATTTCATATTTCAATGTTTTTACATTGTAAGCATTTCCTGTTGGTGCATAATTGTAACTGGCACTCATGTTTTTATCTCTTTTATCTCTACTGCCCTCTTCTACACATATCAACAAAAACATTACTTTTTGTAATGATATCCTTCTAAAGGACAAAACTGCTTTGTCATTCATTTATCAAACACTGTTCTGATATATAAAAATTTATATATCATATTCTCTCATATGTATATAGTGGTGTACTTTAACTTGGGAGGAAAAATGTGATAGTAAAATTTGGCTTACATTAACATCAGAATATTTTTTTAATCATTTCATCCCAAGTAAAGAAATAAAGCCACTAAGACACAAGGGGTTACTGAGCATTAGAGAATATAAAAAAAAAATCAAAAAAAGAAAACCACTATTAAAGAGAGAGAGAGAGAGGACAATAAAAGAACTGGAATTAAGATGGAAGATAACAATTGACATTGCATTTCAATTTTTGAAGATCAAAATTAACTGGGAAGCGAGAAGCTGGGAGAGTTCCACAAGTGAGAGGTGAGAGAGAAGAAATTGTTAGAATAGAACTTAAGGTTATATCTAGCCATTTCAACTGTAAAATGATGAAACCTGGTCACTAATCTAGTAATGCGTCTAAATTCATAGGTACCATAGAAGAAAGTTCATCATAACAATTACCATGAAAGTATTTATAGAAAAGACACAGGGAAGTTATGTTACGGCAATGGGAAAGTGACTGAAGCCTGGATGCCAGGTCAGGATCAATAATGTTGCAGATTCTTCTTTGAATTTTATCAAGAATCTCTAAATATATAGTAGGAGCACTAGACCAGATATGGCAGCAATATTCAAAGCAATTTTGAATGGTAACCTATAAATAAGATAGATTCTGGCAAGAAAAATTGTCTAGCATAACACTGAATCAACTTTCTTCACTGCAGACCTAGCTATTGATTCAATATAATCTTTCCACTTCATGTCAGCAGAGGACATTATCTCGAGAAGGTGCAATGTGTCACTCTCCTGGGAGTTAGCATCAGCCATGCTGATGTTAGGCAGCAAGGGATCTCTGAGATGATTAATGAAGAGAAGTTTAGTTTTGGAATTGTTAAAATTAACAAAGCATTCCTTTCCTTACCTCAGTTAACAACAGATTGCAGGTCATTTTTTTAGATCAGCTGCCAATTTGACCTTATCGAACTGATCAGACTTACAATTAAGACAGGAGTAAATAGTTGTCATCAGCATAGATACTGAGTTGAGAACTGATGACATCAGGAAGGTCATTGATGAAAATTAAGAACAATATAGGTCTAAGAAAAGAGCCTGGTGGTGGGACATTTGCGTTAATGTAAACCGATCTAGAAAAGAATTCAAGACGACTTTTATTTTGTGATTTAATAAGACTGAATCAATTAAAAAAAATTTGTCTAGAAATATCATAACCTTTCAACTTGTGAAGAAAACCAGTATGTCAAACCCTGTCAGATGTCTTCAAGATGTTCAAAGCAACAGCCCGAGTGTCACCATTCTTATCTAGAGGTTGATAGACTCTTTCAGCAATAATCGTTAATACATCAGCAGTTGACCTAGAGAAGCAAAATTTACGTTTTTGTGAGCCCTATAAAATGTTATTTTATTTCCTACATAAATGAAGCCATTTGTTTTGTCTTTGTAAAACACTTAGAAATGAAAATTCTTATACATAAAGATATAAAGTTACTCTGTATTGTTGTTAGGATACAGTTAAGTGATCAACCTCTTTCAAGCCTGAGAGAGAATTTGGCATGTAACCTTAAGTTAATTATTATTTCCTATACAAGAAATTATTAGTCTGTAGTGAACAAAACAAAATCTAGATTAAAAATTCAAATGCTAAGTAATGACTCATTGATTTTGTTAGAAATTAAAAAGACTCAAATTTACAAACTTTGCTTAACACACATGCAAAAATGAATCCAAAACAAAACTTGTGAAATTTCACACCTTGATGCAAAATGTTTTTCGGTCAATAGAAAACTAGGAAACATTTAAAAACAAAATTCAAATAATCTTCAATTCTCAGAAACAAATTTTATGGATCTTTTTTGCGAGTCGACGCAAAGTTTGTTCATTGTCCAATGGAAACGCCCAAATCATATCTGGGAGTGAATTTCCAAATGACGTTTTCAAGCCCCACAAACAAAATAAAAGATGGGCAAGTTCGCCTGTCACCAGAGAGAAGGAGATGAGCGTATTAACACGTCCCTTGGCAAATGTCAAGTGATCGTTATTATTATCCCTACCTTTCTCCCTCACCTCTTTTATACTTGATAAATGAACAGAACATTTTAAGACTGAGCGATTACTTCAAAGACATTCCTACTCTACAATAACGCTCATACATACATACATACATCCACACATATGTTCCTGCCTACGTACATATAAACTCATTCTTGCAAGGACTACTATGAACATTTTGACGACCTTGTATCAACCAAAATACATTGATTTTTTTTTGTAGAAACCTTAATTGATTTATATGTATATAAATTTAATGTTTCACTTTATAATTTGATTTTCTTGTTTTATACCCCTCTTTTGGTAGGCTATCTAATTAACAAGGCCAAATCAAACTAATGTTTCAACACTCATACACTTCACTATAACTGATAACCCACTATAAGTCATATTATATGTAGGTAATTAGTATATCAGAGGAAAGATTCCATAATATATGTAAAAAGGAATCCATAATAAATATTTGAGAATGCAGTGTGCCATCTTTTAAAATTTAAATCAAATACACCATATTTACATGTTCCACCTGTTAAAAATTGCATTACTTTGAAGTAGGTTTAACTTCTGTTGTAGAGCAATTTGCAATTAGGATGCAATCCAAATCCATGAATTTCAATTAAATAACTGCCAAATCAGTGGAAATTTCTCATCTGTGAAAGCCCAAGGATGTTCTATTAGCAAGTTTGATGATACAGTTAGCTGTATGAGAGGATGTGCAGGTGGTGTAATAGTTAATAACTTGCAATGAGAAATCGGTGAGTGGAGTTCAAATTCCAGTTGAATTTATTACATTCACTTTTGCACAAATACCCTTGGGTAAAGGTATAAATTAATCTCTCCTCCTCTCAGCTATGTGTTAAATAGTAGGATATACTGGGCTGTTCACTCTTGGTTGGCAACCAGTCATAGAGAAGAAAAACTAAATACTGAAACCTGGGTACATGGAACTCATTAGCATGGGAACACATGGTTGTCTAGAGAAAAGAAAACCCTAAGAGAAAGCAAGCCCTTCCTCAGAATACAGAGATTGGGTGGAGAACAATTTGACTACAGAAATGACACCAAGAGGCCTTCTGTGCCATGTGGCACCAAGCACAAAAGTTAATTAGCTTTCTGAGGGCAAGATCATAACCAGGAAGAGATGATCATGTAAGTTGTTTAAAGTAACAGCCTAACAATGTCAACACAATTGCACAACTGCCTAACTATCTGCACAACTATATAAACACAACTGTCCTTGAAAGTGTCTTTTTGTGTCAAGACAATAAACTTACTTATATTTCAATGGTTGACATAGTTGCTTTGCCTGACTAGGTTAAAACCCATTGTCTATCAATTTGCCTATTTTAGCTAAATTTATATAGTTTCATCTTAACTCATTCCTGATGGACAAATTAGATCTGGCCACCCAAACCTGATATTTTATTGCATTCAGTTTATATAGAAATGACCAAAAATAGATATTCAAGAGTTAAAAAAAAAAAAAAAGGAAAAAAAGTCTTCCAATACATTGAGCATGACTAGATTTAAACTTATTGACCTTCCAGTTGGTTGTTACAACTAAGTTTCTCAGATGTGGTATACTTATCTCTTTTCCTCCATTTTTTTTCTAAATGGACCAATTACATCTGGGCACCCAACCCTGATATAGACATTTTATTACATTCAGTTTATATAGTAACAACCAAAAGTAGATATTCATGAGTTAAAAAAAAAATGGTTTTACTTATGTTATTATTTGGTTGAGCTAGCTTGGACATTCATAAGTCTATCACACCAACCATCACTACTGCATCAAGGTTGGAAGGTCATTAGGGTGGCATTCTGTATCATATCATAGCTGGTCAATGTAGGTAGTTGCTGGGCGACCAGGCCATCTTGCTCCATGGCTAGGTGTCCAGAGCAATAGATCACTTGCAAGTTCTTGTTTTGCACACCAGTTGTGTCCTGCAAAGTGATGATATAGAAATATTAACATGCAGATAACTGAGAAATTGAACTTAAATTTGTTGTGGTAAACCCTCCTACAGTCGAATGAACTCTTCCTCCTTTCATAAATACTGTGAGAGTCGGTTGGGGAGCATAGACACAGTGTTAACCTACCATTCGGATGTACACCTCTATCTGCTTATTACTTACACTTTTGCTTTTTATATATCTGTTATTTTAATACACTTGTTCAATCTACCTTCATCTTCTGTGTCTTTCCTTCTGGCCCCTAAACAGGCCACAACAAAATTTCATTTACCTTAAAACTGGTAAAATTTAAAAATAAATGCAATCTCAAAAGGGTTAAATCTGATTATATTGAAACATTATTTAGAAATATAACTTTTGTTTAACTTATAAAAGTTATTTTCTTTCTTTTTCACTTGCATTAACATTGCTTCTCTTTCTCATGGTATTGATTTATAATAATAAACGTTTTTTTACTTATAGTTCAGGTGACGGATAGTTTTCAAGTGGGTAGCCATAGTATCCTGATTGAAGAGCTACTTGAATTTAACCTTTACCAGATTGCACTGATGACAGAGGGTCATGGCTTCTCACTTTATATGATACAAATGTTTACCAAAGATGTCCTGGTGTGAGTGTTTCTAATTTCACATTTTGTTTACTTGTTTTCCTTATAACTAGTAATGTTATTTAGCATTGTTTTAAAATAAACCTTATTAAATTATTTTGATTTGGTTTATAACAAAGACTTAAATGGAAATGTTCCTAAATATTTAGTATTAATACTAGTATTAATTACTCTTATAATAAAATCTTCAATCGTTTGACAACATTTTTATGAAAAGCAGCTCAGTAGTTTAGATGCTTTACTAATATATACAAGTTTCAAAATATTTATGTATGTGTGTGTGTGTGTGTGTGTGTATATATATATATATATATATATATATATATATATATATATATATGTGAGAGAGATAAACTAATAGGAAACACTTACCAATCTAATATCTTTCACTTTTGTTCTTTATCTTATTTTTTTGTATTATGATATATATTACATAGAATAAAAATTGAAAGTTACTTCATTTGAATAGCTATTTTGACCCATAAGGCTTCCTTGTAGACTTCATCAACTCATGTAATTTATATGCTCTATTATAATAAATACATTGATCTCTTTATGTGGATCAGTTTTAATATATATTATTAGGATTCACTTCGATTATTTACCAACAGATTATTGTATATATATATATATATATATATATATATATATATATATTGCACATTGAATGCTGGTGTTAATAGTGCTTGATGTATAATAACAGATATGATGCTGAGGTATGCTTTTCAGGATACAAAAACTGGTGTTAAATTTCATTTTCTAACTAATGGAGGACTGTTTTAACCACCAGCAGTTGAAGTCCAAAACACTGATGTCATGTTCATGTGTGCATTAAAGCATGAAAAAACTGTTCCATTACAGGCATTTTCAGGACATTACTATGAATACTGCAGTAATATGTGCCAGTGTAAATTAGGAAAGATAGAATTGAAAATTGATGTAAGTCTTCCGTCTGAGTCTGCAATCTCAGAACATCTTAAAATTGGCAATGTACATCATCTTTCTGTGAGGTTACATCATATTCTGATTTTCACTTAAGAAACAATTTGTCGACCTATTGGATGCACCTAGATTTTGGCATGGAATATTTAAGAAAAAAAAAAATGCACCCATCACAACCCAAAAAATGAAACATCCTGGGTATGACGATAAACTACATCCAACAGCAAGGCTTCTGATAATACGTTTTTAAAAGAATAGTGTTGCCGACTATGTGTTTTTGAAAAAATAATATTACCAGCTATACGTTTGAGAAAAAATATTACCGGCTATACATTTTTGAGGAAAAAAATATTAACAGAAATAGATTTTTGACAAAATAAAAATATTACCAGGAAAACAAAAAGTTATCGGCATTAAATGACCCATTGAGATTGATATGCCGTAAAACAAACCAAACCAAAAAATCAAAATTACAACCTTACCTTTATATGATATTCTCATTAACCATGCAGAAACCCAATATGAGCATAAATTATACTACTTTATTTTTCAGGGAACAATATCTGCACATAGAGTAAATTCATAATAGCTACAAAGAAATCTACTAGTATCAATGAACACTGGCAAAAAAAAATAACAGAAATAGAAGTGAAGTCCCATCCAATACATGCAGAAAAGCAAATTCCAATATGTGTATATCAACAAAACACACACACACACACAAAGCAATCAGCAATAGACCATTGAAAGCAAATATTTCTGTAAAATCTGAGATTTCTACAAAACAAGCAGCAAAATATTGTGCAATTCCATAAATTTATTTTCCTTGTTGAATTTTTCAGGGATATTTTTATTGATATCATCTTTGTTCATATCCTGGAATCCTAGTTTCAGAGCTAAACTTTATGTAGACACTGATTCCTGATGAACCCCATTTTGTTGTGGTCTTCATGTCCCTCTCATACATGATACTATTGTATTGAATGCAGGGTAATTTTTTGGTGCATTTTTTTTTTTTTTTTTCTCAAAAATTTGCATCCAATAGGCTGGCAAATACAGTATATTAAATTGAGATGGCCATCTTTGTGTAAACAAAAGGAATGGTTGTTGGGTTTCAGTATGATCTGTTTATAAGTAGGCCTCTGTTGATTTATTATTGATACTTGTTTACTTTTATCCTCAATCTTTCTTTTCTTTTCCTCATGTTTCTTTTCATTTAATCAGTATGCACAATTTTTTAATTCCTTGATCAAGCTCTGAAGAGAGATAGGGCTGAAAACTGGTCAGCTGATTCTTAAGAAGACTCTAGAAGAGTTTACCCCAGCGAGGGAAATAAAGGGTTCAGTTCAACATTCCAACCACCTGAAGAAGGCCAGAGCGTACAACGACCAAAACGTTGTGATAAATATGGCAACAAAGATGACAATAGTCCAAATAATGTAAATAGTGTACATAATACCTCATCTCAGAAATATAGACAGATACTGAGGGATCTTTCTTTTAATTCCATTTAAAATCATCGCTACTTTCATGGTAAAGTGCTTGGACGAACTATATTTATTGGTTCCACCAAGTCTAACCTTCATGGTTAGGACCCGCCATATCAATTATATTGTAGCAAACTACCCATATTCCCTCTGCATTTCAATGGTGAGAAGTAATTCCACCTGAACAGCTTTTTTCTACAAATCACTACTCTGTGGAGCTGACTCTTAAGATGATGTTTCCCTAATCATGCCAATCTGTTCAATTTTGGGGTAACAGTTATCTCCCCCTTTTATCTGTATAAACTGCCTCTTAAAGTCCCTCTCTACTGCAAGTGGCCCCTTGACTTGTAGAAGTTGAACCTTACTGTAAAAACAAAAAAATAGGCAATTTGTTATTTGTAATAAAAATATCTTCATGAATAGTTTATAATCTGAAGTATTAGTAAAATCTATTTGTGTTTTTTTTTTCTCTTTCTTTCTCCCTTTAAAAATTTAGTGCGCTCAGTGCTATTCACAAGAGTGGGTTTGTTCATGGCGATCTAAAACCGTGCAACTTAATGTGGAGTGCTCAAAATAGCTGCATTAAACTCATTGATTTTGGACTTAGTTTTCATGTCAGCGATCAGGTAAGTACTTCTTATTACTATATAAAAAAATGTATTTACTATGTAGGTTGAATAAATTGGCATATTAAACACAAGATTTGAGATGTAATTTGCATAGGAATGCTATCAAGAATAGGCCTCATAAAAGGTTTAATAAATTGTATGGTTTTATATATAATTTTTGTTAGAAATGCATCAGTTGACAATTTGCTTTTATATCAGTAGCCAGTATTTGAAACTAGATAATAGTAAATTCAGACATATTGACATCTAAAAGTGTCTATGTAATATCGTATGTACGTAACATCTAAAAGTGTCTATGTAATATCGTATGTACGTAACATCTAAAAGTGTCTATGTAATATCGTATGTACGTAACATCTAAAAGTGTCTATGTAATATCGTATGTACGTAACATCTAAAAGTGTCTATGTAATATCGTATGTACGTAACATCTAAAAGTGTCTATGTAATATCGTATGTAATGTAACATCTAAAAGTGTCTATGTAATATCGTATGTACGTAACATCTAAAAGTGTCTATGTAATATCGTATGTACGTAACATCTAAAAGTGTCTATGTAATATCGTATGTACGTAACATCTAAAAGTGTCTATGTAATATCGTATGCAATGTAACATCTAAAAGTGTCTATGTAATATCGTATGTACGTAACATCTAAAAAGTGTCTATGTAATATCGTATGTACGTAACATCTAAAAGTGTCTATGTAATATCGTATGTACGTAACATCTAAAAGTGTCTATGTAATATCGTATGTACGTAACATCTAAAAGTGTCTATGTAATATCGTATGTACGTAACATCTAAAAGTGTCTATGTAATATCGTATGTACGTAACATCTAAAAGTGTCTATGTAATATCGTATGTACGTAACATCTAAAAGTGTATATGTAATATCGTATATACGTAACATCTAAAAGTGTATATGTAATATCGTATATATATATATATATATTAGATTTTAGATTTTATACATACTTTTTTATATATATATATATATATATATATATATATAACAAAGTGTATGTATAAAATCTAAAAGTGTATATAATTAAAAAAACCTTTTTTTGTGCTACATTTTGTTGAATTGTATACATTTTGTTTTGTATAGATGTGCAAACAAAATACTATTTATGTTTTAATTATTTGTTAGTTCCTTTATACTTTGCCAAATATAATGTACACATTTGTTTTTGCCTTATTGTGAATTTGTCACATGCTACCACCACTGCTGGCCAAATAATTTTATTAGTAACTCATCTTTACAAGTGATGGTAATTGTCTGTTTATGGTTTATTCACTTAAACTAATTATTTTAACTATATAGTAAAAACTGGAGATGGACTTGTGTGCTATCTTTGATATGATTGAAAGCATTAGGTTTGCAGACTATCTTTGTTAGGTGAAGAATATTAACAAAATAAATAGGATTACTTCATAAGTGAATGTCAAATTTCTTTAATATTGAGCATAAAGATGGAAGGAATTAACCTTTTATAATCATCCATAAGTGTGTTGTCAGGTGCTTTTGCAAGTATAAATAGAATTTATTATTCTTCCCTTTATTTCTTATTATGGATGTAGATTTGAGGAAATTATATACAGACAAACCTCTGGTCAATGGACCCCACTCCCTTCAACAGACTTTGGATGCAACAGACAAAATCTGCAGGCAAAATAATTAAAAAAAAAAAAAAAAAAAAAAATCTGAAGGAAAAAAAAAAAACTTCTAAATTGTCAGTGATGTATTTCAAAATTTGTTGGCTGAGCAGAATGAGCCATATTAGTTCTCAAATTAACCGCTTTTCAATTATAAATAAAGATGGGTGTACAGTATATAAAGTACAATACATTAGTACGTGCGTGAGAAAGTAGCGTTAGAAATCTATTATTTTTGTTATTTTTATTAATATATCTATATTATTTATTTATGCCATATGTACATGTTTATAGGATTTACATTATGATCATGACTAGTAGTGACTATAGCAGTTTTATAACTCAAAAATAATCTCTTCCCATCTAGGGACAATTGACTTTAACAGGCAACCACATCCCCCTATTAATCCGTTGATGAGAGGATTGTCTGTACTTTGATAGTAATTTAAGTTTTCTAATGGTATTAAATGAATTTTGAAATTTTAATGTGATAACAAAAAGGTAAATATATTTTTAAATACTACTAATAAAGATTTTACATCAGAAACAAAATCATTCAAAAAAAGTAATATATAAGCAATAGAATGATTTATTATTTTAAAACTTTTTATTTTATAGACATTTTTTGTAAAAATTATTTCACCCCAAACAAGGCAATAAAGTCACTGAATGTGAAAGAATAAGAAAAAGAAAATATTAAGGGCTAAAAACAAAAGAACAGAAATTAAGGAAACAGAAAATAATGATTGACATTGCATTTAAATTTTTGAAGATCAAAGGCAATAAAGCCACTAAGATGCAAAGGGGGGTTACTGACTTTTAGAGAATATGAGACAAACTGTTATTAAGGAGAGAGGACAATAAAAGAACAAGAATTAAGAAGACAGAGTATAATGATTGACATTGCATTTACATTTTGAAGATCAAAGTTAACCAGAAAGCAAGAAATTGTTAGAGAGTTCCATAAGTGAGAAGTGTGAGAGAAGAAACATTCAACATAGAACTTAGGGTTACATATAGCTATTTTAACTATAAATGAGACCTTGCCACAAATCTAGTACTGCATTTGAATTCGTAAAGTTTAGGTACCAAAGAGGAAAGCTCATCAGAACAATTACCATGAAAATATTTATAGGAAAGGCAAAGGAAAGCTTTTATAGCAGTGGGAAAGTGATTTAAGCTGAGATGCCACATCTGGACCAGTAAGATTGCAGATTTTTCTTTGTATTTTATTAAGAATCTCTTAATAGATAGCAAAAGCACCAGACCAGATGTGACAGCAATATTCAATGCATGAATGAATGGTAGACTTATAAATGTGTAAGATAGATTCTAGCAAGAAAAATTGTCTAGCATGACACATTTGACCAACTTCGTTAGTAAACAGACTTAAATCAAGTTAAATTAGTAAATTTACAAGTGATTATTTCCCTTAGACATATTTATCTGTATTTCGACGAAATTACTTCCTGAGCAAAATGAACTGTTTAATCAGTCAGTTCTTTGGCTTCACCATCTTTGTTCTGTTGCTAATCTTTTTCTTTTAAGAGATATTTCCATTTCATTGTTACATTGAGCACATAAAAGTTTTAACAAATAGATATTGAGCAAAAAATGATTTGTATAATGCCAAGAGTAATGAATCAATCATTGATGCCTTTGAATGTCAAAAAAAAATATAAAGGGAAATAATTAGATTAAATAAATGATTCATGACCTATTTTAGTTGTGAGTTCTTTATTTCCGCTTTATTGAATCTCAATACATTGTTTCAAGACTTGTTTTATTTCATTATTAAAACTTTCTAACACTTGCAGTTATTTTTGACAGCACATGTACACTAATAAATAAAGATTACTCTTGGCATTTTCAAGTATATGGTTAAACTGGTTTTACTGGTATGGTAATTTTTAATTTAAACTTTTTTTTTAAATATAATTTATTTACAGTCAATTTAATGTCCCCATTTTTATTGTTACTATCACGATTATTTGGCCATATAGTGAAGAAAACTGCAACTTACTTCGTCAAATCAAGCGACGGCATGATGCGTGTATCCTACGACGGAAAATATGAAAAAGAAATTACTTACCTAAAAAAGGGGCACATATTCCGCATGACATGCTGAAGATGGAATATTTTAGAAACAAGTCAGTCACAGGATTCGCTATAAAAGTATTTTGATATGCAAAAATTGAACGTCCTCTCCCAGCTGTTGACGATTGAAAAAAATGCTCAGCCGATAAAAGCAAAAGAGAAAATAAAATTTGTTTATTTTGGCTACCACATTTATCGGAGAGTGAGTTATTTTTCTGATTGGTTACATGCACTGTGATTTGTGAGATAGTACCTGCGAATCAAGTTTTCGGCATTTCTTTCTGTCCCCGATGTTCGAGTCTGAACTTACAGTGATGTATTGGAAGTAATCTGCGACAAATATTTCCTTTGCAATCCCAGATTGCTTACAGGCCATTATGCACTTGAGCCATCAACAGGTGTCTGTTGATCCAGGTAAACAACGAACTGACCCCCCCATTTTCTTTTTTTTATGGTTAAATTGTGATAACTGTGAATTTGAAGACAGAACAATTATCATACTTATTATAAAACCCAGGTTGTGTGTGTGTGTCTGTACGTTTATATATTGGATCGGATTTCCTACATTTTTCAACCAATTTCAACAAAACTTCACAGGACTACGTAAAATTACCTTATGGTGGTTCTGACAGCGCCAAAAATTGGAAAAACACAATTGTTTTTGCAAATTTAAATCAATTTGAAAACACGATCAAGAGGCATCGCATGAAATGAAAGGGGACAACTCATATCGAGTTTTACTTATTATAAAACCCAGGTTGTTTGTGTGTGTGTGTTCGTTTATATATGGGATCGGATTTCCTACATTTTTCAACCGATTTTAACAAAACTTCACTTTTTTTTTTTGGCAGGTAGTGTTTCTTATTGTCTTGCACACTTTTTTCTTTATTTTTACATTCAGAATGCTTTAAAAATTCCATTTACAAGACAATTGTTTATAATAAAATTCTATTCAATCGGTAGACTCATAATGATTGAAAACAATGTTTTTGTTTGGGTTTGACCAATTTGTAAAAAAACAAAAAACAAAACAAAACAAAAAAACTAATTAAGACATGCGTGTCCATCAACCTTAAACAATAATCTTTGTCAATTTTATTTTTCAGTCTTTATGATGGTCGATACTTGATGTATCTCTTACTGTTACATCCCCGGGCAACGCCGGGCTCTACTGCTAGTTATTGATAACTCTCTCCTCCAATTTGTGGACATTAGTTACTATATTCTTGATACTTGATATAATGCAAATATCGCAATGCTGAAATCATTCAATTATTTATAACTCTTTATACTGGGACTCATTCATGCAATTACAAGTAATCCATAATAATAATTTAAATTTTGAAATCATTATTTTTGGCATATGAATTTTTTAAAACTTTCTAAATCTTTGTCTTTTAATCATTCCGCCTCACCTGCCATCCTCTTCCACTGCATCTTTTAGGAACCACTGCTTTAGACTATTGTCTCATAGGACAATCTTGAACTTAGAGCCTCAAATTTAAAGTTCTTGTAAGTATTAAATCAATTAATAAACTTTTTACTTACAGGATGTTGGACAGATCCAAACTCCAAGTTATCGAGCACCTGAAGCTGTGTGGTATAATCAAGGGCGCAGTAATGTTAAGTTGACTCCAGCAGTAGATTTATGGAGCCTTGGATGTTTACTCATTTGGATGTTTACTGGAAAGAAAATTTTTCAGAAAGAACCATCAGGACCTTGCAAAAGTTGCACGGTACTTAGATTTCTATATAAAACCCATTTAATGGAAATGTATACACACATGCACACATTTTAATGTATTAAGATATGACTATAGTTTTTAAAGTCCTTTTTTTTCCTAGATTAAGTTTAATATGAAAATGTTGAATTCCCTAAGTTTTCTTAATTTTAAAAAAAAATAATTGAAAGTATCTTCCTTTTAATTGATTGGAGATGTTCTGTTTTGAGAGGTTTGTAAAAATTGAAATTCTTACAAAAGGTTTTGGGTAGATAGGCAAGATATAGTCTCTTTCAAATAAGTCAATTTTTAATAGTATTATTTATTTCAACATAAAAACAGGTGTTATCATGGCAGCAAAATGACAATGTTTCTATTCACTGGACTTAGTACAGGTTGAGGTTTTGTATGTACCATAATCTTCATATTTAGAAATGCTTACTTAAAAGGAAACTATTACATTTGTCCCATAATTGTTGTTACATTTGCAATACATATTTCATATAACAATAATTATGGGACAATAGTAGTAGCAGTATATATCAACCACTTTTGTTAGCGTCCTGGGTAAGATGATAAACTACATCCAACAGCAAGGCCTCTGATCAGGTGGTTTTGAGAAGTATAGAACCACCTCTTAATTGCTGGTGTTCCTAGGCCCACCTTGGGTGGTAGCACCTGTTAGGGTCCCAGTTATTGGCAAATAGTTAACCCCCAAACTTGGATCAAAGCACTATGAAAGTGCAAAAATAGGTTTTAATACCAGCAATACATTTTTGAGAAAAAAAAATTTAAAAGCAATAAAATTTTGTCGGCATTAAATAACCTATTGAGGTTGATATGCTGTAAAACAAATGAAACCAAACCACTTCTTTTAATTAATTCTACTAATGTTTTATTTTGATAAATTATTAATCTATAAAGAATATTACAAATGTTTATCTCTGGCATTGGCAGTTTTGTTTTTTTCTTCTTCATAATGTGGTATGATACTTTTATGCATCTTGGTAGTTTTTTTTTTTTTTTACCAAAAGAAATCTTTATAAATTGAGTAATAAATAAAGAAAAAATAACATTGAGAATAGCTATGCTGCTGAAGCTGTTTATATTGCTATAATACTGAAGTGTATTGTGCAGCACGAAATGTGCTTTAAAAGAAAACATGAAAGTAATGAAAGTAAAACAACGCAGTCAATGCATTAATGAGTGTGACCATAATTTTGATTTAAATCATGCTACTTTAAAGTGAAAGCAACTTATTAAGACAAAAAGTACACTATTTACATTATTCAGACTATTGTCTTCAAGGACACATGACACAGTGGATAAAGGCGTTAGATCCAATGGCAAGACCCAAAGAGTATGAGTTCAATACCTGTTTAAGGCAGTAGAGAACTTGGAGAGGGGAATTAACAGGAGATAACTGATAACTGACATCCATTAAACATGGCACGTGGAACTAGAACAGTCTACCCCAGTGAGCGAAATAAAGGGTTCAGTTTGACATTCCAACCACCTGAAGAAGACCGGAGTGTACAACGGCCAAAACATAATAAATATGGCGACAAAGATGAGGCAATAGTTCAAATAATGTAAATAGTGTACATAATATCTCATCTCAGAAATATTGACAGATACTGATGACAAAAGGTATACAGAAAGTGCTTTAATTGCAAAATCATCCACAGTAAATTTGCATCCAGTTTCTTATAACATTTCATCTTTTTTGGCAGATCTATTATCACAAGGTTGGATAGTTAATAAAAAAAAAAAAAAAAAAAAAGATAAAAATATGAAGAAAAAGAAACTAAATGAAATTGGCTAGACTATATACCCAAACATGTCTTATAAAAAAGAAAAAAATTAATTTAGAAATAAAAAATTTCAGCATCCCCTCACCTTGTGTACTATCATCAACATTAGTCCAATGAAGTCCTAAAGGATGAAACACACCGCATCAATAATTTTTTCCACTTTGTTATTGATTTTCCTAACATTGTTCTAGTATATAAAAATGTATACGACATGATTGGCAGAGGAGGGACGTATTCAACAAAATCAAAAATTTCTTTTTCACTGCAAATTATTCATTATATATCCAAGAATTTTACTAAAAATTTGAGCCAATTAGTCAATATTTCAAGACCGATCTAAAAACAACAATGGAAAAGAGAGGTAACAAAATGTAAACGAAATAGCTCCAGTTTGTTCAACTTAGTAAGCTTAGTATTACAGCCAAAGTATTCTAAAATACTGCCAATAACAAAGGAGAAAATGAAAAATACCTAACAACAAATTGAATATAGAATCAAAATTTATATTTTTATGTATTTGTTATGTAACTAAATACATAATTGTCAACAATGTTTCTGTTAAACTTGATATTTCCTGTAATAAATTCTTAAATATTATTATTTTACTTAAGTGTAATTTACAATTCCTTATGGCTAACCATGAAAAGAAATGTTGATCAAAGCTGCCTAAAACCTTTAAGCATGTATTGCTGCAAAATTATCAAATATGCCCCTCCTCCACCGAACATGTCATATATCCTTTTCCTATGTTGAACCGCCTAAAATATAAAATAAGATACTCATTTAGCCATTTCCTCCTTTTAAAAGGTTTTTTTAATTTTTATTTACTTTAACAGAAACATTGTGATAAATGAATTTGTCTGATTTAAATATTTTTTGTGACTATTTTCAGCTGGGAGGTGTAGAAAGTTGTGAATATGGTGTGTTGGCCCTACAGATGATAGATGACAAGATCTCCAAGGAGCCACTGACCTTGGGAAGTGAAGAAATGATGCCAGCCTGTCTTGCCTTTAAAAAACTAGTCTCAGGGTATATTCACATTTTGCACAGACTTTTTTTGTTAGCTTTGATAACATATGTAATGTGGTTTCACTCAAGGAGTAACAAATATTTGTTATAGGAGTTTTAGTTTGGTATTAACTTCTTTTTTTTGTTTTTAAATAGTACAGAAAATGTGACACTGAAATCCAAAGTTGCATTGAGATAGCAAAAGATGACTTCCAAAAGCTAAGCAAGGTATTAAGAAACAGGAAAATTTTGTTAGAAACAAAGAAAAGAGTACTGAACTGTTATGTAGTATCAGTCCCCCTATATTTCAGTTAATCTCCACACAGATTAAGATCAGTTGCTTCAGCAGAAATGTGGTTCTACGGAAGGATTTTGAGAATGCCATGAATGGAAATATTGTAAGCAACGATAAAGCGTTAGAGAAAATAAAAACAAAAAGGACAATTATACTTAACATCAGGAAGAGAGACAGTTGAATTTTCTAGGGTGCATAATGAGAAAAGAAGGCTTGGAAAATCTGATACTTAGAGGATAGATTGAAAACAAGATGAATAGAGGAAAACAACACATAACCTACCGCGCAAATTTTAGTAAATGCATAAAAAAAGACAAAATTTATTAAGAATTACAAAAGAATAGGAATTTGTGGAAAGTCATGACCGCCAATAGTTTGAAAGGACATAGCACATAGAGGAAGAAGAATCTGGCTTTATCTCTGACTAGATTGGACGTCGTCGTCATCATCATTTAGCCCTGACTAGATCGGACATCTCTTAGCCTTAACTTGATTGGATGTAACAAGATTTGTGATACAATTTTACATGGTTTGGATTGTCTCAATATATGAGGAAGTGCTGAAAAGTTGTTGGCTTAACCCTCTTCCTAAAATTTAAGCAAATGCCCAACATCATAATTTTTTTAGTTTTTAATCTCTTGGTTAGGCTGAGGATATATCAGCATCTCATAATTATTTTGTTTGTTAAAAATCAAAACTTTAATGATTTTTCTCTTATTACTAGAGAATGCATTTGATATTGATTTGCTCAGAACTTTAACAATATATATATATATATATATAAATTATTTATTTGAAAATTATAACATAAACATGTTATAAAATCACAACAAAAATAGCCATTTTGTTTCAACACTTCTGGTGTCTTAAGTGATAGTGTTGAATGTAGAAAAAATCCTTTATTCTACATTCAACACCATCACTTGAGAAGACACCAGAAATGGTGAAACAAAATGGCTATTTTTGTTGTGATTTTATAACATGTTTGTTATAATTTTCAAATAAATAATTATATTTGCTCTACTCTGTATTGAGCACTCTTTTAAGAATAGTATTTGTTGGTTATTGAAATTTATTCTATATATATATATATATATATATATATATATATATATATTAGATTTTTATTATAAAATCTGTAATATCCTCTTTACATATTCCTGTGGCAAATTTCACACCAAAGCTAAGGGCTTCCAATAGTATATCTGATGATTTGAAATTGGATAAGTTTGTTAATAAGTCTTTTCTACCAACTCAAGACCATTTGTTTATGTAATTGTGTAGTTCTCTTTGTATTTAGTTAAGATGTTTTGGTGATGAAGATAATTTCCCACTTTTTGTTAGCTTTAACAGAATCTATTAATACTTGAAATCTACCTATGAGCTGAAAAAAAAAAAATTAATACTCAAAACTTCACATCATATATTTCCACTATATGTGCATGATTTCTTGAAATCCTCTATAAGTTGGAAGAACAAGAATTAATACATTTTGATAATGCCTAACTCGGTTACTTGCCTACCTTCGGAAAGCCTAACTTAAAATCATATATTAAATAACTGATAAAAAAAAATGTAATTTTGATATATAAAATGTCAAAAAAGAAATTAATGTAGAATTTTCTTTTTTTGTTTTATCAGTGTGATTCAATGCAAAGGCTGTGAACGACCTACAAGTCAGGCAGCACAAAATCATCCATTTTTTTCTTATCCTTTAGGTGAGTATAAAACTTAATTCCACATTTTAAAACAATTTTAGAGTTGTATTTTTCTCTTATGGTGATTTCACGGTTCCACATTTTATAAGGTTTTATATATAAATGCCAGTGTTTGTTTTGTAATGTGCAAAAGATGACATGCTATGATTTTGTTGATTTCTAAATGTATAGACCAGATAGAGCTTTTGTATTTTATAAATGCTAACTCAGCACTTTTTGCTTGCTGATGGCAAGATGATCAAGTTTCAAATCTAAATTGTTTGGCCATTTAAAATTCTCTACTTATTAGAAAATGTATTAAATTTAGATACAGAAGTAATCATAAAAATGACTTTAAAGAAGCTGCACATTACTCTTCTGTTATCACAGTGATTCTCAACTACCATGGCACACCAGTGGGCTGCAAAATATTGTCACAGCTTTTTTATATATATATATATATATATATATATATATATATATATATATATATATATATATGTGTGTGTGTATGTAAGTAGTGCAGTGTTTGTATTTGAATAAATGAATAAGTATTAAAATTTTTCAAATAATTCTTTTCACTATTCTTCAATTATGTTATTTTAAATATTTTGTTTTAATATTCATTTAATAATAAAACTTTATATTTGTGTGAGTGTATATTTTTTAAATCTGGTTTTATTACATAACATTTACATGTATACCCTTTAAAATTTTTGCTAAGTGTGCTGTGATATTTCCATTTGCTCCTAGGTGTGTTGTTGCTTAAAAAGTTTGAGAAATAGTGCTTCCCAGACAGAAAGGGGAATTCACCACAAATGTCTCAATTTAGTCCAAATTATGTGTGCATGTACGTTTACAAGTGCTCATGTAGATTTTAATTTTGTGACAGATTTTAAAAAAATTTCTTAAATTAAAAAAAAAAAAAAGCTTTAAAAGAAAACAAATCTACCAAATAATTCCTCGAATCTTCAATAAAATCCTATAATTATCTGACTTTTTAGGGTTTGAAAAATGTACACATGCAAAGTTACATGCAGGCATTGTGATACAGAATCTGTTTTTTTTTTATTATTATAGCTAACTCCCTCTCACCCACAAAATATGCTGAAATAGATTGGTAAAAAAAATTTTTTTGTGTATTTAAAGTGGGTTTTAGATTATTTTAAGATCCCTCTCTCTCTCTCATATATATATATATATATAGAGATATATATCTCTCTCTCTATATCTCTATATATATATATATATATATATATATATATATATATATATAATATATATATATATATATATATATATATATATATATATATATATATATATATATATATATATATATATATATATATATATATATATATATATATATATATATATATATATATATATATATATATATATATATATATATATATATATATATATATATATATATATATATATATATATATATATATATATATATATATATATATATATATATATATATATATATATATATATATATATATATATATATATATATATATATATATATGGTGTATCAAAAATACTTTATTATTAGTTATTTTTCAGATTGGTTATATGCATTGGTATTTGTGAGATAGTACCTGCAAATCGAGTTTTCGGTATTTCTTTCTGTCCCTGATTATTCGAGTTTGAGTTTTTGTTATCTGCATTGTGGAATTAATCTGCTTCAAATATTTCCTTTGCTTTCAGAACACCTACTTTTTTTTCTCACTGGTAGTACAACTGAGTTTCATGCAGAATGCAATCATCAGATTCTGAATTACATTGTTCATGAAACTCAAAGTAGTGCTACTGACGAGAAAAAAATGTATATTTATTATTAAGATAAATTATGGCTTTGTTATTGTACATTGATCATTATTTTATTACCACCAACACCTCCTGTGTATTTATATATATATATATATATATATATATATATATATATAAAAAAACTTGATTTGCAGAGTAGAATATTATATGGTATAAGACAGGTTTATCATTCAACCTGCCCCATAAATATCTCAATGTTTGACCTGCCATAACCCACGATATCATTGTCAACAAACTGTGAGGCTTTGAGAGCTGATATTTACAGGGTGGTTTTGAGTGTGTTGAATGCTAAAGTGTTAAGTAACCAGATATTTATTGTCACAGTGTTCATATCAGGAAAGTTTCTTTGCAACCTTTCCTTCATGACATTTGGAAATGAACAAAACAAAAGGGTTGCATATATAATATTTACCATACTAGAAAATCCATGATTAAATCCATTCTACCTGAAGAACTCCACAAAGGGCAAGTTTACAAAGTATGTGTTACAATAATCGGAAACTGATCTTATATAAAATTTAGGTTAGGGGTTGCAATGCTTTGTAATTTTAGAAAATTTCAAGTAAAACATCTCTCTTTTTTTTAGAACCTTCCTTTTGTGACTTACTGCTGATTCCTACATGTGTTATTAGAATTCTCAATGCAATTGATGATGAACAACCAGAGCTTCATCAGGGTAATTATTTCTTTCTTTCTTTAGCTTCATGTCCTTGTTGTGCATTAATAACATTGGAAGTGGTCTATTGTCTATGATTTAGTTCTTGGGACTTGCTGGAAGAAAGCTTCATACCAGGAACTCTTTGGAGCAGAGATAGAAACTCTGGTTTATTTTTTGATGCTGGAAAGCTAACCATAAATCCATAAGGGTAGAAACAAAGTTATTTTTTTATTTTTAAATTCTCATATCAATATTTCAAAGATAGAGGTTAAAGCAATTCAGTTGAAAATTTTTTTTTATTTTTACTGTAGAGAAGACTTATTAATTACTTAAATGTCACCAAATCAGTGGAAATACAAACAGAAAAAAAAAACACAAATAAATGAAAAATTGCTGAAATTAGAAAAGAATATGAGGTCTGATTTTTAAAAAAAAAAAAAAAAATGTGACTGTTGCTATGGTAACAAAGTACACAGCTTGGCACAGTGACATTGAACTCTGTCACACATGCACACTAAGTTATAACATTTTCACTCAATTCCTTTGTTTATAGAAGTGCTTGGAAGGGAAGTGTGTAGAGTGTGGTCATCTCTCCACACCATGGAGGTACCATCAGTGACCATGGCAGAGAAAGTTGAGCAGAGAATCTATCAAAATGTCAACAGTGATGCACATTCTAGGAGGCCTGCAACAATTTTTTTGGCATAGCTTATGCAGCAGTTTTTGGCCAGGAAAACCCTTCCCCGGGTCTGACTTTTCCTCTTTCTAAAAATTGGCTTATGGCCAAATAAAATTGAAACACCAGTTTCCATACGATCACCAAAGTTAAGCAACGTCAAGCCTGGTCAGTACTTAGATGGGTGATGCTTGGGAATACCAGGTGCTGTAAGCTTGGATGTGTGAGTTGTGTAATGGGTAATTGCTTGGAATTGTTAATTTTTAAAAAAATCAAATTCATACTTGAAAGGAACAAGATTTCATGACCTCTAGAAAATCCAAGAGAATGAGGCAGCTGCTCTCTATCCCCCCAAAAAAGGAGTTCCATGAATGCTTTCTTCAATGGAAATGACACTGGATAAAGTGTGTAGCTTCAGAAAGGGACTACTTCGAAGGAGATTAAGTGCCAAATTGATGTGTGTTGTGGTTTTCTATTCATAGCCCCAGTTTTGATTGTGTTATGTAGACTAGGTTACATTTGTCATTTGTGTATATTTGTGGCTAGTCTGTCTTCTCATTGAGTTTTTTCCATTTTGTCATTCACTTATTTGGGACCTACCATTTTACTTTGCGTTTTTGCAATACATTCTGTGAAATGCTTTAAATAAGAATTCATCCTGTTCAAAGCAATATGTTAAAGATGGAAATAATGAGAATAATTGTTTAAATATAGAGTAAAAATACTGGATATATTTTTTTACTTTTCTTTTACATTTATTTTTTGTTTGATGACTTCCAGTTGTGAAAGATGAATTGGTAGCTAGATGTTCCAAATTTGGAAATATTGTGCAAAGTGTTCTACCAAAAGAAGGACAAGGAAAAGGAATTGTAAGTTAATAACATTTTTTAAGACTAGTTTTGCATTTTTCTTTCTTTTTTAAGACTATTTTTGCTTTTTTTTTAAGACTGTTTTTGCCTTTTTTCTTTCATTTTTTTAAATCTCAAAATATAATGTGAATAATAATTAATATTTTTCCTACTACTTTAATCTCTCATTGTGTCCTTCATTTTTACTTCAACTCACCCTAGATATTTGATTAGTTTTGAAAAGTAAAAAATCTCTCTTTTTTTCTTTTTTTTTTTTTTTTTTTACAGTGATGTATAAGGCTCAATAGCCACTCAAAGTAGGGGGTTACAGAGTAAGAGGCACAATTTATGGGGATATGTGAAGATAATGGTTAACCCTAGACTTGAACAGGTTAAGTTTGTAGTGATCAGGGAAGCATTCTCTTGGGAGTTGGTTCCACAAAGCAGAAAGGACTTATATGTTGAAACACTGGTTTTCATATGATCACCGAAATTAAGCAATGTCGAGCCTGGTCAGTACCTAAATGGGTGACTGCTTTGGAATACCAAGTGCTGTAATGGATAATGCTGGAATTAGAAATCAGAGAGCCTACAAATGGTTGATAAGCTATAAAAAAAAAAATCTAGCTGAAAACAGTTCAAAACACTAAGTACAAATGATATTTGATGTTTAGATATTTAATAATTCAATTTTTACTCATTAAAAACTTCACTCATATTACTAGGTTATTTCATAAATTATTTCCGTTTTTGTTTATTAGTAATTTGCTTTGTTGTTTTTGCTAAGAGCAGGTGGAACTGAAACACTCAACTTACTTACTTAGTGTCGGCTTATGGTAGATTGTGATGTGTGTAACATCTTAGTACTTTGCTATGGATTGCTTTCCACCAATGATGTAAGAGCTTTTTTTTTTTGTCACTGTCTAATAAATGCTCTGGTCTGGGTACACTTTTCAACAACATTTTTCTAGAACAAAACTTTGCTAACTGAATTTGTACTTACCAATCAGTTATGACTCCTTGATCATAAACACTACATATTTTTCTAAATGTTTCCATAGTTTTATTCTCTTATTTGAACTTGCATAACAGTGTGAAGTAAATGCACTTTCAATCAATCCCTCCATTAATGAGGTTAAGAAATTTTATTTTTTACTCCTTTGTGTATACTGCCACTGCCATGCAAGAACTAAGGTCTGATAGTGTACTCCAAATGGCTATGTATGATTTGTAGTTAGGATGATTCATTTGTCATTATAATTGGTCCCCCAAAAAAGCAAATTATTTATGACTCAATCTAATGAAGAAAAATTTGGAAAAAACAAACAAAAATCCTTAAATGCAATTATGTTGTTTAAAATGAATGAAATGTCGATGTCTGACGTTTCGGTTTAATAAACCTTCTTCAGGACAATATGACAAAGACGATGGACATAAAAACAAGTCTTATCCAAAACAGATAACTGAAAATTTTTAAAATGATCAGCTTTCCGTTTAGCATGGTCACGTTGTCGTCACATGGGCGACGCTTTCAAAACGTATTCCTAAAAAATTTTTGATTATTTTGAATGAAAAAGAAAATGAAAAGAATTCTATTAGGATCTAAAATTTTTATGTGTATGCTTGTCGAGCATTAATCTCGCTAAAAAAGGGGAAATACTAAAGAAACCAGGTCTAGTATTCACTGTGCGTGAGATGGATATTATACCTGCTTCATAAATCCTCCTGAGATTTTTATTATGAAAATATTTTAATACCTTCACAGAATCGAATTCCAAATTATGATCTGCTTTAGTTGTGTGTACAACTAAAGCATTGTTAAAATTTCCAAGGCGAATATCTCGTTTATGTTCGAAAACACGATTTTACGGACCTACATGTTTCACCCACATATTTTAGGTCACAGTTTTTGCATGATATTTGATAGATGCAAGCATCGGATGTAATATGTTGTCTGCTGGTGCTATTTAATAAACTGCGGATAGTTCTAGTAGGTAATATTGTAGTTCTAATTTTTAAAGCATTTAGATTATGAGAGATACGTTCGGTCAAATGGTTATTTGGTAGAAAGATGCGACCAAACGAAATATTATCAGAGGCAACTGAAAGTGTACCTTTCATTGATGTAGTTGTAGTGGCCTTCGAGGTGTCATTTTTGCTGATGAGTGAATTTTCAACGCTTTATTTTTAGCTCTCTGTAATAATTGTCTCGGATAATGAAAGATTTGAAAAGGTATCCTCAATATATGTGAATTCATCATTTAAATATTTTGATGAACAGATGCAAAGAGCCCTTAAATAGAATCCAATAACAATACCCCTCTTAGTGTTAGTATCATGGTGAGAGTAAAAATGTAAATAGTCATTTTTACATGTAGGTTTACGATATACTTTGAATTCTAATTTATTTTTATTTTTAATGAGTAGTATGTCTAAAAAAGGTAAGGAATTATTAGATTCAAGTTCATAGGTAAATTCTATAGTAGGTTCTATTCTATTTAATCTATCAGTAATATTGTTTAAATCATGTTTATGTGGGTAGATAAATAAAATGTCATCGATGTATCGGAAGTAATGTGTATCAGGTGGAATGACATCTTTAAAAGGTCCAGATTCAAGAAATTCTAGAAATATGCATGCTAGGAATCCAGAGAGAGGACTCCCCATCGGTAAACCAAATTTTTGTTTATAATAAATATTATTATATTGGAAGAAACAATGTGAAGTGCAAAGGATGCATAATTTGATGCATTTCAAGATAGAGATAGGTAGCTTAAAGTCAATTTTCTTTAGGTGGTTCTCTAATTGTTTAATGCATTTATCAACAGGTATATTAGTATATAAAGATTTGATGTCTAAGCTAGCTAGTGATTAGTTATTGTTGAGATGTTGTGAGTTTCCTGTGTGTCGGTGTATGAATCAAGACAAACACAGTTGTAGAGGAAAATACTGGTATATTCATAAAAGCAATTAACAATAGAGTGATTAGTAGAACGAAGGTTGGTTAGTACGAAACAATATCCAAAGTCTATAGTCCAACGGTATGTACCGGGTAAGCTTATCTGGACTGCTAACGCTGACTCTCTCTCTCTGACGCTCTGTCACTCTCTCTCCAGAGCTGACTTATATAAGAGGGACCAGTCCATTACTAGTTAGAAGGTGGGTGCGCCCCAACAGTTATCTATATCAATATTTCTCAACTTATTTAGAAGAGAGCCTGAATTCTTTATATGTGCGTTACTTACGGTGCCCAGAATTGGAGTTAGAAATTTAGTTAAATACCTAGCAATATTATGAGGAGCTGAGCCTATACCCGAGATGATGGGCCTTAATGGAATGTTAGGCTTATGGGTTTTGGGGAGGCCATAAATTTTAGGGACGGTGGGGTGGTAGTTAATAAGGGAAAGCCAAATCTTATCTTCATTACATATGAGTTTCTTATAGGACCTATTAAATTCTTTTAGATTCTTAGAAATTTGTATAGAGGTGATCTGTTCATAAGTGTCTCTATCATTTAGCAAGTCCAACATTTTCTGGTTGTAAGCAATGGTATCCATGACAACAACACTGCCTCCTTTATCAGAAGGAGATATAATAATGTTATTATTCATAGACAAGGATTTTAAGGCATTCATATACCTCTTAGGTAAATTGAATTCCATATTTTGGCCATTAAAAGAGGCAGCTAAAATGCCTTGGGTAAAACATTTAAGGAAGTCAGAATCACTGTGTTTGTAGTTTATATTTATCAGTTTGCTAATATTGTGGTCTTTTGAACCAGTTGCAAACTTTAGACCAAAACTAAGGGCTTCAGTCTCCAAAGTGCTGAGTGTGGTTTTGGAGACATTGGTAACTAGATTCGTTCTACCCATATTTTTCCAACAGCTGCGATCACATAAATTATGGAATTTTAGTTTTAAACTCCTGATGTGTTTTTGATTAATTCTGGTCACTTCGGATCGAAGTCTCTCCACTGTGATGCGAGACATGCTGTTTTTCAATTTTAGTTCACGTCCTAGAAGTGTGGCTTTTAAAAAGGTTTGTTCCTCGGAAAACTTTAAATCTTTTACTGATGATTCCAGGTAAAGTTTGATATAGTCAGGGAAAATATGTGAAGATGATTTCATAATATTGGACAAGCCCGATGGAACGATTTTTTCATATATACAGTTCATTAAGAAATCTTTTCTGTTCTTGTAGGAATACGCGGAGACTAGTAAATTCTTGTATTTTCGGATAAGCTTGCAATCTTCCATGTTATAAAAATGAATTTAGGTTTGTATTTTCAGTGGACAGTATGTAAGCAAATATAAATGGATATAGATCCGACAGAATGAAGAAAAATTTGGAAAAAACAAACAAAAATCCTTAAATGCAATTATGTTGTTTAAAATGAATGAAATGTCGACGTCTGACGTTTTGGTTTAATAAACCTTCTTCAGGACAATATTCATTAAAATACAATTCAGTTCAATTTGACAAAGACGATGGACATAAAAACAAGTCTTATCCAAAACAGATAACTGAAAATTTTTAAAATGATCAGCTTTCCGTTTAGCATGGTCACGTTGTCGTCACATGGGCGACGCTTTCAAAACGTATTCCTAAAAAATTTTTGATTATTTTGAATGAAAAAGAAAATGAAAAGAATTCTATTAGGATCTAAAATTTTTATGTGTATGCTTGTCGAGCATAATACAATACAATCTAATACATTAACCCAGCATCTTTCAACCTTTTCCCTTGTGGAACCTTTGAAATAGTTTTAATGTCTTGGAAAACCCCTTCATAAAAATTATGTACTATTATTAATATCTCTTTTCTATTTTTATTGTAGTTCATGTGGCAAATAAATGACCTCCCCCTTTTTTTGTCAAATTTATTGGTAATACAAAAAAAAAAAAAAATTCATATTGCTCATTTGAGACCTCACACCAAGGTTTTCATTCACAAAAAAAAAAATATCTGTAGATATACACAAAAATTGACATAAATAACCGCTACCATTATAATTTATTATAATAATGAAGGATTTTCCAACAATGTGCTGTACATGTATAATAGAACTACAAATATAAAACTAAACAAAAATAACTCAAAAAAGCATTAGCCTATTTATCATTGTTTCTCATGGAACTCTTGACAACCCTAGAGTTCCAGGAAGTACCAATTGAGAAACATTGTATTAACCAGACAGCAATTTATGAATTATTTTCCAACCCTTTCTGAGACCAAACTTAGAAAACCTCTTGCTATTCTGCAATTATTTCCATGGCAAATGTTCTGAAAAGCTACATTCCTTAGTTCCATCAGTTCTGACCTTCACAACTAAAACCCACCATGCCATGGATACTGGGAAGAATCATCCACCATTCCCTTCATATTCTATTAGTAAGAAGGGAATTCCATTTGGACAGCTTTTCCCCC